ATTTTAAAAATATATTTATATGTTGAGAATTTTAAATTAAATTTTATAAAAATAAATATTAATTAATTTTAAATATTTAATAATTTTAAAAATTAATATTAGATAATACTTAATAATTTTAGAAATATTTTTAAATATTCAATAATTAAAAATATGAAGAGATAAGAGATAAGATAAAAATATATAAGTAAAATGAGAAAAAAGATATGAGAAATTTTAATTATTATTTTTTGAAAAAATTTAAAATTTTACTATTTCAAGAGATTTCACAAATGCTTGAATTTCAAATTTTTTTATAAATTCTCTATCCAACCAAGGTATTTCTTATCAAAGAATTTAAAATTCTTCAAACAAATAAATTATTTTATTTAAATTTCTCATCTAAACACACCATTAAAAAACGTGAGTTAATGAGACATGGAGACTTAATTAATTTTAATTGTCAATACCACTAACATCCATTACTTCTTGTTGACTCAAGATAAATTTTGTTCCTTTACAAATTTGAAAATGATTTGCAAATATTTACAAAAAAAAATAACTTTTAATCATAATTTTTTGGTGATGGAAATATAATTGTTATTAAATTAATTATAAACTACATGATTTTGTGAAGAATAAATATTAATATTTAAAAATTATTATTTATTAGTCATTATTTTATATATGTAAACAGATTAATTAAATTTTATTTTATTTTAATAATTTAATAAGTCTTTGTCAATATTCTATAATTTTTTTTGATTTTATTAATGACTTTGAATACACTAACTATTATTTAATTACTAATAAAAAATAATAATAACTATTTATATAATTTCAAAATAGACAAAATAACAACCGCAAAAAGATAACGAAATATAATGTGCATCCAAAATAAGCTTTGCCTTCTTTTCACATTCTTTTGATCAACTTGTTAAAATTTATCATTCTTGGACCCAAACTAATTGTATATTCATAGATATGCCACCAAATCATATGATTTATTGCAATCATTGAGAATAAACACAAGATTATGTTTGTGCCCGTTAACAAAATCATATATGTTACAGTAAATTACAAAAAAGAATACGTTATGAAAATAAGATAAAGTGCACAGCTTGTCAATCAATATATAACTAAATAATCAAACTTTATTATTCAACATAAGCTATCTTATTTGCAAAGGTTGTGTATCTAATCCATCAACCTTGTGTCCCATACCTTGATGTAACAATTCAAATTAGATTATACCTTGTCGTGCATCTCTCGCCAAAACTAGCACACTTGTCACTTTGAGAGGTGCTTAACATTCGTTCATTCATTCCCTATTTAATTTGCTAGCATCATCATAAATTAGCCTTAGACATCGTAATTGCTTGAGAAAGAGAATAGATGGATGGCTTTGACTACAAGGCAATATTCATTTTCGTCACTTTGAGATTTATCTTAAACTTTTTGTGGCCATTAAAGTTCCCTAAGCCTATATGTCTGTGTCAGTTCTACCATAATGAAAAACTAGACTTCAATGCATCTCTTGAAGTTTAAACTCTCTCCTTTTCTTTCCACACGTGAACTTTTCATGCATATGGATCTTAATTTTCGTTATGGCTGTGTTTACATTTATGGAATAGTTTAGTAGTTAGGGAGTAGAACAAGCAACCAATTAAGGGGGGATCTTAATTTTCGTTATGGCTAGCTGTGTTTACATTTATGGAATAGTTTAGTAGTTAGGGAGTAGAACAAGCAACCAATTAAGGGGGGCTTATGATTCTGCTTGGTTACATGGCAGCACTACTTGGTGCCATGTGAGGATATATCAAAACCCCATCATTATCGATTTAATTAGCGTTGGAAAATTAATTTTTCAATTAGAATACCTATTCTTGTCCATTAAAATTATGACACATAGAGCATGCATGATTTAAAGCTCTTTGAAATACAAGAAAGAATCAAGGATTAAATTACTTTGTTTATGATAAGGAGGTGTAACTCCTTTTTAACATGATCGTTACTCTAAATTGGAGATCAAAATCCGGTCAAGTTATTTTTACTAACAACTTTTGTAATTAAGGATCAAAGAAATGGTAATGACTATTATCGGAACAAAATTTGTAGGAATACTAAAAAACATTACTGCGTCATCTTTGTTGATTAAGATCATAGTCAAATGCATCTACACGTTAAAACTTTCAACAAAACAAAAAGGTTTTGTTAGTCATATTGTTCCTAACTGTCCTAATTATATCGTTAATGAGCACCTGAAAAGAGAGTGCAGAAACTCCACACGCATAGAATGTACCAAACATTCACTGCTGTCACAAGTGATTGCATATGCAATTAATGGTATGGGAATGTCTACCCTGCCTCAAAATAAAAATAATGCACGTAAGAACCAATCTCACGAAACCGTTTCATTTAAATCATTACCTAGAGTGAAAAAGCAAGTACAATATTTAAATATTTCAATGCAAGTACTAATATTTTTCAGTCCTAAACGTATTTGATGTAGGCTCATACTTACGATTTTACTAATATGAGAAAGTGTAAGGTAGGGGTACTTTTTAATTAATGACTTTCAATAATCCTTTAGCAAACATCATTTGCTATATGGAGTATACGGTTAACCAACCTGCAAATTGTGATTCAAATCTCATTGAAATGACTAACATGATCGACCTAAATGATTAATACTTAATGATTTTATTTGTTCTATAATATATATAAAATGTAATTAATGGTTATGTAGAATTATGCCTACAGAAAAATCATGAAATTAGTTTTTCTTCTACGCTTCAAGAAGATATATTCTATTTTTCCCTTTCAATGAAGGTCAGGGCATGTGGCAAATGTCATCAATGATTTACATTGATATTTACGAATGACATATAGAGATATCAACGCAAATCTGTATGAGCCAATCTATATGAGCAATTATCAGCCAATCTATATGAGCAATTGTCGGTTGACATGTATACGTGAGTTTAACATTTTTTGTGTATCATTAAAATTTTTCATTAGTGACATATCTACTAAAGAAGATCATTTGAAACTAAAAGTGAAATCTCTTTTGATGAGCATTTGCTAATCATCAATTTCACAAGTAAAATTTTGAGTTAAATTAAATACTTTTGAGTTTCAACTAATCACTAAATGAACAATTATATTTCATTTAAAGATCCTTAATATGTCATTAGCTCCCTGCAAAAAGCAACATTAATCACATTTAAACAAATACATTATTAATCCTACGAAGACTTAGTTGCCTAACTACCATACTCCTTATACGTGCCTATAAGTGAAACATTCTCATTCCCTTTCTTACCTCAAGTGATGACCTATAAGGCATTGGCATGCTCTTTTGTCGTCTCCATGTAGACCCCTAAAATTGTCCGGGTCGGAAATAAAGTACCAGACGAAGATTAGTTAAGGAAAAGCAAAGTACGAAAATCAGACGAAGCAAAGTCAAAAGAAAGATGAAATACGACATGAGCACTAGACGATGTTGGATCAAATAACAGATGTAGGTGTGTCACGCGCAACATAAAGATTCAAAAGAAGGCTGGTCAAGAATCAGACAAAAGTTAACTACATATAAAACGAAGGACAACATAGACTGAAAAACATTCTAGATGGAAATGAAGTTTGTCCATC